CGCATGAAGAGCAACCACGTGCGGGGCCGCAGCATCACCAACGACTCGGCCGTGCTGTCCCTCTTCCAGTCCATCAACAGCATGCACCCCCAGCTGCTGGAGCTGCTCAACCAGCTGGATGAGCGCAGGCGTAGGTGCTGCGGTGCACGGGGTCCTCATCTCGAGGCCTCACTGTGCCCCCTGGGTGCAGTGTTGTGTGAGCACCTTCCGCGCCGGCCCAGTCGCTCTGGGCATCTGCAAGGTTCTCAAGGGCGGGGCTACCCCAAGGGGCGGCAGCTTCTCAAGAGCCCGTCTCTGGGCTGCAGGCCACTCAGGAGGTAGTCCCAGCGATGGGAGGTGTCCTGCTAAGCACAAGACAGCCTAAGGAATCCCACCCCCAGCCCTGACACTGGGAGCCCAACAGCCAGCTGTGCCCTGATGACAAGCACTTGGCTGGGCAAGGGCAGGCCCAGTGGCCACGGCCCAGAGCCAAAGCCCAGCGTGGGGCAGCCAGGCTTCCCTCCCATGCCAAGCACTCCTGGCTGTGCCCTGTCCCCACAGTGTACTACGAGGGGCTGCAGGACAAGCTGGCACAGATCCGCGATGCCCGGGGAGCACTCAGCGCCCTGCGGGAGGAGCATCGAGAGAAGCTTCGCCGGGCCGCCGAGGAAGCTGAGCGCCAGCGCCAGATCCAGCTGGCCCAGAAGCTGGAGATCATGCGGCAGAAGAAGCAGGTGTGGTGCTCGGCCCCACTTCAGGGGAGCCAAGGTTGTGGACAGCCCTGATTGCCGCGTTGTGGCCCACAGGAGTACCTGGAGGTGCAGCGGCAGCTGGCCATCCAGCGTCTGCAGGAGCAGGAGAAGGAGCGGCAGCTGCGCCTGGAGCAGCAGAAGCAGACCATCCAGATGCGGGCCCAGATGCCCGCCTTCTCCCTGCCCTATGCCCAGGCACGCACCCAGCCCCGTCCTACCCGTGCCCCCGACTCCAACAATGGAGGAAGCCGCTGACCTGTGTCCCTCTTTGTCCCCAGCTCCAGGCCATGCCTCCGGCGGGGGGCGTGCTGTACCAGCCCTCCGGCCCAACAAGCTTCCCGGGCACCTTCAGCCCCGCAGGCTCAGTGGAGGGCTCCCCCATGCACACGGTGTACCTGAGCCAGCCGGCCGCCGCCGCCAGCAGCCCCTACCCCAGCATGCCTGGGGCCGGAGCAGGTAATGGGCCGGGCAGAGGTGCCGCCAGCCAAGATGAGCCCAGACCGCTACTTCTTTTTTGGTTTTGCTTTGCTGTTTCAGATTTACAGAAAAGTTGAAAGGACAGCACAGTTTTCCATATTTTCCCAAACGTTAACATCGCGTCACAAATCTGCTCTCTCTGCACATGCACACGTGTGCACCCACGGGCTTTCTCTCCTAAACCTTTTTAGAGCAAGTGGCAGGCGCGATGCCCTTTGCTCCCGGCAAATGCGAGACCCTCCCCTGTGTCCTGTGTATGGATTGCAGGTCGGGAGCCCGAAGCTGCGGTGTGACCTCCACTGCGGGGCTCAGCTCTCCCACAGCGTCCGTCACACCCCTTGTGCCCACAGGGAACCCCATGGTTGTTGTCTTTAGCTACTCGACTGCTTATCATCTTTGGTCTAGAATGTTCCCATACTGCCTTGGCGTTCACGCACTCACTTCTCCAAGGTGCTGGCCTGCTGTCTTGCAGACCCCCTCCCCCCACAGTGAGTTCTGTCTTCGTTGGTGTGACCGTCCGTGGCTGTATTTCGGCCAGGCCTCTGGGCGCTGAAGTGTTCAGTGGGAGGGCACAGCCAGCTGCTGGCTGCAAGGCATGTGGCAGCCTGCCCAGGTTCCTCCCCAGAAGGGACTGGCTCTCCTGTGACAGCCCCAGTCCAGTGGGGAGATGAGACCTGTACCTGTGCTTGTTCTTCCTACATTTTTAGCTGCTAGCTCTAGCATCTCCGCTGCGTCTGAGGCCGTCTTTGCGTTTGTCAGCTAGTGACTCTGGCACCTTGGCCCTCTCCTGTTGCTAAGGAGGCAGTCTTCCTCCTCCCGTTTGTTTTTTTGTCATCTGCATCAGCATGGACCCATTTTATTCAAATTTCACAATTGGTTTTGGTGCTCAGACTGTCCCAGGTGCGGGCTGCTCCATGTTCACGTTGTGGCTCTCAGCCCAGGAGGTAGCCCCCGTGGCCTGGTGTGCTCCGTGGCGACTGTGAGGACACGCGTGTGCCCACACCTGGCTCACCTGTGTGGCAGACAGGCTCGCTGACACAGCGTGGGGCTCCTCCCCTTTCCGCGCTGGCAAGTCCCGTTCTCACGCCCCGTTTGTTCTGTTTGCTCCTGGAACACACAGAACGTGGTTTGGGGAGTGGCAGGCCGAGCCCCGGGGAAGGGGTGCCTGTGACCCGGCGCGGGGTCTGTGGCCCTGTCTTCAGGCCGAGAGTTTCAGGAGTGCAGGGGCCCGTTTCCCCGGCCCTCCCGCGTCGTCCTGTCACTCCCCGTCAGTAGGGTTTGGTTCGTTTCCAGTTCCATTCAGCGTTAGAGCTCCTCGCCCATCCTGGATTTTCCTTCTTTTACTTTTGTGAGAATGTGAAAAGTGAACTTGGTTCCCGAAGTCACAACAGAGGAAAACTGCCCCCACAGGGTGGTGAGCTGGCTCCTCTCCCTCCGCAGATCCTGCCATGGTGAGCGCCTACATGTACCCGGCAGGGGCGGCCGGCGCCCAGGCAGCCCCCCAGGGCCCCAGCGGGCCCACCGCCAGCCCCGCCTACTCGTCCTACCAGCCCACTCCGACGCAGGGCTATCAGGTAGGCGGGCGGGGCAGCTCCCCTCCCCAGCCAGGGCCCTGGACCTTCTCCCATCACACCCTTCCCTCCACAGAACGTGGCCTCCCAGGCCCCGCAGAGCCTTCCGGCCATCTCCCAGCCCCCGCAGTCCAGCGCCATGGGTTACATGGGGAGCCAGTCGGTGTCCATGGGCTACCAGCCTTATGGCATGCAGGTGAGACCATGTGGCATCCGGATGGAGAAGAGGCTGGGGAGCACTGGGCGGGCCTCTTCCCCACTGTTAGGCTCTCCTCGCAGGTGGTCATTTGATTTTTCCAAGTCAGAAATGCCCCCTTTCTTGGCATGCAGGACTCCTTAACGCAGGCTTCACTTCACTTTCAGAGTCTCATGACCACCCTTCCCAGCCAGGACGCCCCTCTGCCGCCCCCACAGCAGCCCTACATCGCAGGGCAGCAGCCCATGTACCAGCAGGTGAGTGTGTCAAGGCTCAGGATGCTGAGCATGGTGGCCGTCCTGGGAAGAACAGACAGCGTAGGCCAGGATGGCTTCCCAGCAGATAGCGAGGACGAAACACCCTGCACACACGCACGCAGCAACAGGCACAGACGCCCAGACCACGCGTGTGCCCAGCTCAACCCCACACACTGGTCGGGAGCCCTAGGGTCTCTGCTGGGGCAGGACGGGAACAGGGAGCCCACGACAGGTTGGGAGGAGGGAGGCCTGGGGGGAACTGAGCCCTGGGGCTGAGAGCAGGGCGGAGCCTCCGGGAGGTGGGAAGGCTGGGGCCTGTGGCTGGAAGACAATGGCTCCTGTGCGGCCCCCCAGATGGCACCCTCCGGGGGACCCCCCCAACAGCCGCCCCCCGTGGCCCAGCCGCCGCCTGCGCAGGGCCCTCCCGCACAGGGCAGCGAGGCCCAGCTCATCTCGTTTGACTGATCCCCGGCCGGGAGCCCGCCATGCAGAACACTATGGTTCTCCGAAACCACCGCCTCCGTCTCTAACTAGCGTCGTCCTCCTGCCTCGCGCTCCCACTGCCATGTAGTGCCCCTGCCACGGGCTGGGGGTGGCCCTTCACCCTGCCCGCCCCCGTCCTCTCCTGCTGACTGCCCGTGCCCCCAGCCCCCGTCTTCATCCCCGTCTCCCTGCGTTGGTCTCTGACTCCTTTCCCCAGGGCTGGGCCTCTGAGGGTGGGAGGGAAGGACCTTCTCCCAGTGAGCCAGGGCCCGCGAGGGCTGGCTGGAGCGCCCTCCCGTCTGCTCCCCAGAGCCCTCCGGCGATGCCCCCGAGGTCAGCAGGCGCTCCTGGCCCTCCCAGGAGGGTGGGGGTTTGTCTCCAGCTTCTCTGCTTGAGCCGCCATCTCATCCAGTGCCCTGAGTAGACGGAATGGAACAGTGATAATAAAATGTCTTTCAACAAGCGTCTGGGAGTCTGTGGAGAAGGAAGGTGGTGGGTGGCTGGTCCTGCTTGGCAGGCGCGGGTAGGCTCGGCCGGCGGCCACCTGTGCCCAGAGCCAGGCCGGGTCCCACAGCAGCAGCCGCAGCCCCCCCCCCCCCCGCTGCGCCCCCCCAGGACCTGCTGGATTCCTCCCCGTCGGCCGACTCCCAGCCCGAGGATCTCCCGCCCGAGCGCCCGGCCCCTGGGCGACCCCAGCATCAGCTCCTCCAGGCTCGGGCCGCGTGCGCTCCGCCTGGCCGGCCGGCCGTGGGGGCGCTGCTCCGGGCCGGGCTCCTAGGAATCGCCGGGCGGGGCCCCCGGGGCGCACACGCCGGGTGTTGGCGGGGCCCGGGCGGGGGAGGGGGCGCGGGCGGGGCGGGCGGCTGGCGCAGGGCCGGTGCTCACACGTCCTCCGCCCCCGTCACCGGGAATGCCGGGCGGGCACGGACGAGGCTGCCCGCAGGTGACCTCGGGCGGCGGCAGCACCTGCCGAGTGGGCGCTCGGGACCCTCGTGCCCGCCCCGCGGCAGAGCAGAGGCCACGGGCCCAGGCCTCCCCGAGCGTCGGCCTTCTTGGGCTGCGGTCGCCCAGCGCGGAGAGGGCCTCGCAGGCCACCGTCGAGCCCCGGGCCCGACCCCGACGCCGGGCGGCCCACAACGAGCCACTGCGCCTGCGCGGCTCGACGCCTTGTGGGTAACCTTGGGGAGCGAGAGGAAGGAAGCGCAGCCGCGGCTAGAGCGTCGCCTCCGGCCCGTATGCTCGGCGGCCCCGGCGGCTAGAGCGTCGCCTCCAGCTCGCATGCTCGGCGGCCCCGGCGGCTAGAGCGTCGCCTCCAGCTCGTATGCTCGGCGGCCCCGGCGGCTAGAGCGTCCTCCTCCCGGGGAGCCGCGTGTGACCTTCCCGCCCGCGGACCGATGCTGCCGCCGGCCGCTCGCCCCCTTTGGGGGTCGTGTCTGAGGCTTCGCGGCGCTGCGCTCCGTCTCGCCAGGTACGCGGCCCGCCGAGCCCTGGCGGGTGGCCGGGTTGGGGCCCTCCGCGGGCAACACGGGGTGCAGGGCGGCGGCGGCTCCGCGCGCGGCGGGCGGGTGCCCCCGGGGCGGCGGCCCCGGCGCCGGCTCCCCGACCTCGCGGGCTGCTGACGGCAGGGGGGGCCCCGGGTGGCCTCGCACAGGTCGCCGGCCCTCCCCAGCCGCAGTGTCCCCCGCAGCCCCAGGGACGTGCTAGGGCTTCCGGCGGCGGGTCTGGCCTTGTGCCGCCCGAGGGCCCCGGCTCGGACTCGCTTAGTGCAGCGGAATGAAAGCATTTAAGTTACTGCCCCGCTCCGTGGCCCCACAGTCTTTCGACCCGGAAACTAACGTGGGTCCCACGTCTGCAAATGCCTGCGTGCATCTCCAAAAGTCACTGGAGGATTTAAGGCAGCTGGGCAATCCCCTTATGCACGTGCACCCTGGAGTCCGAGGAGCCGGCCTGGGACCCGGGAGCTAGACCCGAGCTCACAGCGCCTGGCCCGAGCCGCCCGAGCCCGGCTGACAGCTCTGTTTGAATGGGGGGCTAGGCAACAGGTGCCCCGCGTCTGCGCCGTGCGGCTGATGAGATGCAGCAGCCATCGGATGGGGGAGGCCCTCGCCGGTGCACCCCTGGATAACGCCCCCAAAGAGTATCCCCCCAAGATCCAGCAGCTGGTCCAGGACATCGCCAGCCTCACACTCCTGGAGATCTCAGACCTCAACGAGCTCCTGAAGGTACCACAGCCTGTGTCTTGTCCCTGGTCTGTCTGCGGAGCGTAGTAACCATCAGAAGCCTGCTCCCTGGGTACAAAGTACACGCGCCCCGTGCCAGGCTTGTTGTGTATCTTTGGATGTGATGAGCGACCGCTGAGACTACTCTCCCCCCTCTCCCTGCAGAAAACACTGAAGATCCAGGATGTTGGACTCATGCCGATGGGTGGCGCGATGCCCGGTGCTGCCCCTGCCGCAGCAGCCCCTGAGGTGAGCCCAGGCCAGGGCCCCGTGCAGAACGGTTTTTCTCTGGTACCTGTTCTTCCCATGTCACGTGGCCAGCCGGCCAGATTTCTCTCATTGTCCCTCGTCTTGGTCCTGCATCAGCCGACACATCCCGCAAACCCGTGTGTGCTGGCTGTGGGCTCCCCCGCAGCCTCGTCGAGGCCTCCTCCTCACCGAGATGTACAGGTCCCTGCCTGCATGGAGATTGTTTCTCGTGGAGAGAAATTGGCGATGACCCAAATAAGAGGAAAAAGAAAAACCTTACTGAGTAGCAGAGCGTAATAAGCGTTGTGGGGAAATGTAGGGAAGAAGGCTTAAGGGAGGGGACGGTTACAATTTCAAGGAAGGCCCCAAAAAGGAGGTGACGCCATGGGGGAGATGTGAGGAATACGGGAAGAGAGCAGGGCACTCCGTGCAGAAGGCCAGCAGGCACGAGAGCCATGGGGCACGTCCAGGGCTGGAGCAGACGTCGGGGGGCGATGGCCGGGGATGGATCTCCACGAGGAATCCAACAGACCTGAACCCACACACTAATTTATTGTGTTTTGTGTTTGGTTCTTTGGTTTGGGGGCAGGTATTGCAATTTCTGTTAGCAATAGCTCGGGTTATCTGTGAGTACAAATAGTGACCCATGTGTGTGTATCCCCCAGCCTCAGCAACGATCAAGGTTTTGCCCCATTTACTCTTCCTTGTTACTTGAAGCTTAAAGCACATTCCTGGTCTGTCCTTCCTCTGTGTTCCAGCACATCTCTCAACGAGCAGCTGGTTTTTTGTTTTGTTTTGTTTTGTTTAAGATTTTATTTATTTATTCATGATAGACACAGAGAGAGAGGCAGAGACACAGGCAGAGGGAGAAGCAGGCTCCACGCAGGAAGCCAGACGTGGGACTCGATCCCAGGATTCCGGGATCAGACCCTGACCACAGGCAGATGCTCAACCGCTGAGTCACCCGGGCATCCCGGGCAGCTGTTTTCTTTACATAGCTGCGAGCCATTTGCGCAACAAACATAGTTAACGGTCATCCTCTAGCTCGTCTGCTCAGATTTAGCTGATAGTCCCAGACTTTATAGCAGTGGGTTTGCTCTCGTCTGAACAAGGTCTGTGTGCTGCATCTGGCCTCTGGGTCTCTGAAGTCTGGATCCTGGCCTCAGTCCCCTTTCCCCAGCCATCCGATGCCGAGGAAGCCAGGTCAAGGGGTCCTGGGGAGTGTCCCACGTCCCAGACGTGTCTGCGTGAACTGGTACCTTTACAGGCAGATGAGATTCAGGCTGAATATTTGGGGCAAGGAGAGAGAATTACTATGAAATTTGTTTGAGCTGGAACTCTTCTGAGAATAAAGGGATGCTGGTAGTAACCGGGGGGCAAATCCAAACCAGGACTGCCTCAGGCCGCCATGCCAGGTGGCCCCCTGCTCCCCAGTGGTGCTGCTGAGTCTCACATGTGGCCGCAGGGCGCACTCAGCACAGTCCTGACGTGGGTCGCCAGGTGACGGCGGGGCTGGGGCTGCCTGTCAGGTTGTCACCCACCTGTGATTTGGGGTTGAGCTGAGGATGGGAACACTGCTTTCCTGAGACATTGTTGGATAAGACCTGTTGATGTCACCCTGCCTGTGCCCCAGTTACCGCGTTTACAGGGTGCGGGAACTTGAGCGGCTGTTTGAGAGCAGCCTCCGGAGAGAGGTAGTGTTTGCGGCCAGGGAACCGCGTCTCACTGGGGAGTGTGTCGGAGGGAAGGCTCCGAGCGGCCTCCTGCTAGAACTGCAGGCCTTGCTGGGCTGGCCTAGGGGTTACAGGACGGGGTGGCCCGGGAGTGAATATGCCTGCTTTACCTGGTGCCTCCGCTCCCCCCCAGGCAGTAGAAGAAGAGATCCCCAAACAGAAAGAACGGACACATTTCACTGTCCGCCTAACGGAGGCAAAGCCCGTGGATAAGGTGAAGCTGATCAAGGAGATCAAGAACTACATCCCGGGCATAAACCTCGTCCAGGTGAGCTCCGTGTGCGGCGCGGTCCTCCTGCTGTCCCTAACGTGGCAGCAGCACCGGGACTGTCCCCTTCTGGGGCAGGTGGGCACAGAACCCAGGCCCGATCTGACTTTGCTCTATGGCAGGCAAAGAAGCTGGTGGAGTCCCTGCCCCAGGAAATTAAAGCCAACGTCGCCAAAGCAGAGGCAGAGAAGATCAAGGCAGCCCTGGAGGCGGTGGGCGGCACCGTGGTTCTGGAGTAGGCCACTCTGAGGACTGGTGGACACGGGTCCCTGGGACCTGGGTGAGGCCCCACCCGCCGCACCCCAACATCCGGGATCTGCTCAGAACTGCGGCACTGGCACACCTTGGCCAACTCTGGATGGACCTGCTGGGATGGGGGCCGTGGCTCCTGTGTGAGCACCAGGGAGGTGGACTCTAGAACATACCACGGTTAACATGCACCCCCTGGTGGCCACTGAGAAATATACATTGTTCGGGTGCGGTGTGTGCAGAGTGGTGTGTCCAGGTGGGCTGCCAGGCGGGTGGTGTGTAGCTGGCTAGGATGGCCATCTGGGGGGCAGGGCTCCTTCCTGGCCCCCTCACCCCCCAGCAGGATGTGTGAGGGGCGGCCAGCCACCTCCGGGTCCTCTGTGCAGGGGCCTGACCTCCCAGGGCTGGCAGCAGCACCCGTCCTGCCTGGGCGGCAACAGCTGGCACGTGACTGATCCCAGATGTCACCTAGGAGGTGGGTTTGGGGCACCTGTGAGGGTCTTTAGCAGACTGAAGCAGGAGGTGAGGCATTTGCAGGCCCCCATGTATCCCCCCCCGCCTCCGCCCTGGTCCTGTTGGAAGAATGACCTGCAGGAACAGGGCTGCGGGACCTTAAGGGGACATTGCATCTGGGAGCGCCCAGCCTGGGCCCTCAGGACAGGCCTGGGGAGCGGGTGTGCTCCCGGGTGGGCGTGTCCAGCCCAGGACATGAAGGGCCCTGGAGGATGGGATGTGCTTCCTGCCGAGCCTCCTTATCTCCTTATCGGAAGGCTGCTCCCTGACCCTGAGAGCCCCACTGGCCAAGTCTGTGGCCCTGGGCAGTCCCTAAGGATTAATGATTTACCATCAGCTGATCTCTGGGCGTGCCTCCCCCCAAGGAAGGTGACTGCTGGGCCTCCTAGGGCGCGTATCCTGCTGACCCAGCTGCCTCTTCTGAGGGAAGAATGTGGTCTGAACTCAGGGAAAGCTCTCAGCCTAGGCCTTCTGCAGGTGACCTACAGAGTCTGCATGTTCTAGGGGAGTTGAGGTGATGTTTAGGGACCCCCTGTTCCGTGTTGGACATCGTGGGGGTGGCTGCTCAGAAGTGCAACTGGTGCCACACCCCACAGCCTTCAGGCCCTCATCCTGCCTGCCTGGCCTGGCCGTCCCTGATGGTGCCTCCCTCCATCCCCCCACCCCCCACCTCTGGGCTTGATCTACTCTGGTCTGCAGTTGGCCAATAAAGTTGTGTCTCCGACCTATATCCCATCTACTCCAGCGATAGATGGGGTGTGCCTGGGTCCCCGGAGGCCATTTGGCCTGGCCCACAGGACACAGCACGGGGAGGTGGGTCTGCTGTGCGTCCTGAATTGGTCTGATGGCACCCACATGAGGCCTTCCAAGGTCCTGTCAGATCCTGGTGGGAGTTAGCATACTGGGTCTCTGTACATGCTGATGAAATGCAAAAGAGACCTGGAGCCAACCCCTGCCTCCAGCCGGGTCCAGGACCCTCCAGGCGGCTGCCTGCCCCTCCTGTGGCCCCATCGGTCCTCCCCCAGCAGCATGGGGAAGTGGGAGTGCCCCGGCAAGAGGTCTGGCCAGGCAGCCTGTTTTAGGACCTCACCTGACCTCCCCATCTAAGACCTTGGGTTTGTGCACAAGTCTTTGTGATCCACTTGAGAGGTCAGCTGGGGATCTTTTTGAGTTTCCTGACCTATAGCTCACAAAGTCCCACTTTTCCTTAAGAAGGTGCTCCATACTTGCACTTCCATTTTCCAGGACTTCTCGCCTGTTTCCACTTCTCAAGGGTGTGCCATGCTGCTGCTCTTTATGTTTTTAGTTGTTTGGTATCTTCAGCTTCTGCTCCTAAGCCTCAGGGATCTGCCGTTCTCATCTGGGGGCGGTCCTGGGCCTGTGCACCAGGGTGTCCCAGCCCACCGCAGGTTCAGGACTCTTGCTGATGTGACCACAGTGAGGGGAGCAGCACACACCATGTCACCCACTTGTTTGCTGCTTTGCAGTCGTGTGGATGGTGCTGTCCTGGGGCTGATCGGAGATTTGGACATCGTGATTTATCCCGAATGACAAGGGCAGGTTTTGTGCTGGCTTGGGTCTCAGAATGGGCTACTGACTTCTGGTGGGACAATGACAAGGAGGCCAATCAGCTCGGTCTGTTAGCTCTGCAGCTGCTGCGTTTTTGGTTTTTTTTTTTCTTTTAAAGATTCTATTTATTTATTCATGAGAGGCAGAGACACAGGGAGAGGGAGAAGCAGGCTCCCTGCAGGAGCCCCATGGGAAACTCGATTCCAGGACCTTGGGTCACACCCTGAGCCGAAGGTAGATGCTCAACTGCTGAGCCACCTGGATGTCCCTGTTAGCTCTGCTTCTAAATAAAGGGCTTAGGTGTGAAAGCCATCTCTGTTTGATGACACATTTCACTTTGCAGAGCTCTGGTGTGTGTCTCGCATCTTCTCTGGGTTTTTAATGGAATGGTTTTTCCTAATTTGTTTATTACTGATGTGTAGAAGTACAATCTTTTTAAGTAAGCTCTATGTCCAATGTGGAGCTTGAGCACAGAACCCCAAGATCAAGAACCCCATGCTCTTAGAACTGAGCCAGCCAGGTGCCTCTCTGGTTTCCTCCGGTGAATTGCTGTGACCCTGCCCCCTCATGCCTTCTCCTGGCTGTGTTACCATCTAGTCTGCAGCTTGCATCTTCCTCAGTCCCACCCGTCCACTTGAGATAAAGCGGGATGCCTATATGGCTGACTCCACCCCCCACCCCCCACCTCTCAGGGTCCTCAGCATTCCTGGGCTGGACACTATCTCTGCAGCTGTTCACTTCCTGAGCTGAAGACCTCAGGGGTGAGAGGCCTCCTAGGGTTCTAGAAGGCAGTCTCCAAGTGGCAGCTTTAAGCAAACAAAGGTTTGCTGGCCCGTACCATGCTGCTGACATAGTCACAGGACGCTCAGAGGCCTGGCTGGACTTGGTCACGGTGCTTGGCAGGTTCAGGGGATCCAGAGCTGTTTCTGCAATGCCCCTCACACTTCTCCCTTCGGGTGTGGGTGCTGCAGTGGGTCTGGCTCTGCCTTCTCTGAGATTGGAAGCTGCAGAGAACTCCTGGGTCCATGTGTCCCTGCTGTAAGGTAGCCCTGGAGATGCAGATTTCCCCTCTGGCCAGCAGGTGCATCTTTTACCTAGGAGCACACTTGTACCTACCACCTGTTTGCTGGAGGTGGGATGAGACTGAGAATCTGCACACAGGGGGGTATCTCCGGGGGCAGGCAGCCTGCCAACTGTCCTCTTCCAGGACGTCTGCCTAGCGCTGTCTGGTCAGAGCAGACCTGAGGCTGGACTTGGCTGGGAGCCCGGGAGAGGGCTGCTGGTCTCCCCGAATTGTCGTTCGCCTCTAGTTTTCTGTGTAATCCGCACACTGGCTCCAAAAAAGAATCTCTGCCACCTCCTGCAGATGCACGAGTCCCAGGGCTGATCCCAGGGCCGGCGAGGCTGGGCTGGGACACTGGGTGCAAGGTCAGGGCCGCGGCTGGGGCGGGTTGTTTGCAGGAGGAGCGGCGGCGCCTGGCCCAGAGCCGAGGCTGCTCCTTCGCGGTGACCTTCGGGGACCAGCCCTAGGCGTGGGGGTGACCCTGGGGCGGCCGGAGCCTGGGGGGCCGGGGGACGCCAGATTCCCGGGCGGAGGGGAGCAGGCCCGCCCAGCAGGCTCCCTGCGGTCGGTGCGCCCCAGCCCCGCCACACCCCGGCCCCGGGCGCAGCTGCGGGCGGCTGGGCGATGCCCGCTCTGCTCCGCTGACGGGCCGCGGCCGCTTTAAGACGCGCGCTCCGCCCCCGCCGGGGGGCGTGGTCCCGCCGGCCCCGCCCCCCTCCGGCCCCGCCCCCAGGCCCGCGCGGGCGCATTGGCTGCGCGGGGCGCGGGTGGCGGGTGGCGCTTTGAACCTCGCGCGTGCGGCGGCGGGGCCGGGGCGCTGCGGGGGCGGCGGGGGCGGCGGGGGCGCTCGGGGCGTCCGCGGCGGGGCCATGGCGGCGGAGGCGCGCGTGTCGCGCTGGTACTTCGGGGGCCTGGCCTCCTGCGGGGCCGCCTGCTGCACGCACCCGCTGGACCTGCTCAAGGTGAGGGCGGGGCGCGGGGCGCGGGGCGCGGGGCCGGGGGGCCGAGCTCCCTGCGCGCACACCTGCCGCGGGCGTGGAGATGCCGCCTGCGCCCGCCGCCCCCCCCGGCCGTGCCCCCGCTACCTGCGTGACCTTGGGCCCCGCGCCGAGCCTCTGGCCAGGGTCCGCGCCGCACTTCTGCGGACGGACTGTGCGGGCTCCGAGTGGGGGGCGGCTCCGTGGGTCCCGCGGCGCGGGGGCGACCGAGCGAGGGCGTGGGGGCGCCGGGGGCGCCGGGGGCGCGTCCCTGCCGGGGGCTGCCTCCCCTGGGCGGGGCACCCGGGAGGCGGCCGCAGCGTTCACACGCGGCTTTACTTTCTGTCGGAGGATGCTTACGGGGCGGCCCGCCCGAGACAGAGCCGCTCTTGTCTCCCGGGGCAGCCGGGGCAGCCGGGGCAGCCGGGGCAGCCGGGGCGGGGGCGTTTCTGCCCCTTTCTCCCCAGAGAACAAAGGGCCGATGATGCGAAGCACAGCTCGGCCTGCCCCCGAGGCCCTGCCCCGGCCCGGCCACCTCCTTCCCACCCCCGGCAGCCCCAGGGGGGCACTGGCGCCCTGGCCCCGTGGACCCCAACCTCAGCCCCTCCTCCACCTGAGGATATGTTTCTTTGAGCAGCTTTTGTCCTAAAGGAAGGGGATTGACTTTTCTAGTAGAAACGGTCCCCACCGGTCAAGGCAGGAGCAGCAGATGGGGCGGCACAGCCCGGCCCTGGCCCGTCCCGTCCTGGGAGAGGCCTGCGTGGGGCCTGAGGGGCGGCCAGGGGAGCGGGGCCAGGCCTGGAGGGTGCCAGGCTCCAGGAAGGGCCCCGGGAAGGGGCGGTGACGGTGAGGAGAAAGGTGCTCTTTGGTTTGGGGAAGGAGGAACCTCCCCCGTGTCTGTGTTGTCTGGCTCTCCCCGCCCCCCAGGCCCTTGTGCCCGGCCCTGCCCCCCCCACCCCCGCTGCGGGGCCCTGGGGGTTAGCTGTGCGCCTGGCTGTGGGTGGACACAGCTTCCCGGGGCCCTCGGGGCGGCCCAGAGTCCAGGGCTCAGTTGGGCATCACCGCCCCACGCCCTGACCCCGGGTGCTGGTTTGCTGCCGACGCTGCCAGGAG